CTTTGCGGTACGCGGGCCTCTCACTGTTGTGGCCTCTCCCGTTGCGGGGCACAGGCTCCGGACGCGCGGGCTCAGCGGCCGTGGCTCACGGGCTCAGCCGCTCCGCGGCATGTGAGATCTTCCCGGACCAGAGCACGAACTTGTGTCCCCTGCATCGGCAGGTGGACTCTCAACCACTGCGCCACCAGGGAAGCCCAACACTCCTTTTCTTGAAGTCTATTTTGTCTGATATTAATTAACAACTCCTGCTTTCTTGTGTTTACTGTTTGAGTGGGATACCTTTACCTTTTTTACTTTAAATCTATTTGTCTTTGTATTTAAAGTGCATCTCATGTAGACAGTATATAGTTAGTACTTGATTTTTACCATTCTTGTAATCTCTGCCTTCTGATTGGAGTGTTTAGTTTGCTTTAATGTAATTGCTCATTTGGCTGTATTTAGGTCTGCCATTTTGCTGTTTTCTATTTATTTCATTGATTCGTTTTTTTTTTTTTTTTTTTTTTTTTGCGGTACGCGGGCCTCTCACTGTTGTGGCCTCTCCCGCTGCGGAGCACAGGCTCTGGACGCGCAGGCTCAGCGGCCATGGCTCACGGGCCCAGCCGCTCCGCGGCATGTGGGATCTTCCCGGACCGGGGCACGAACCCGTGTCCCTTGCATCAGCAGGCGGACTCTCAACCACTGCGCCACCAGGGAAGCCCCATTGATTCGTTTTTGTTCTTCTGTTCCTCATTTCCTTCATTCTTTTGTGTTGACTGTTTTAAAATATTTCATTTTAATTCCTCTGTTGACTTTCTAACTACTATTCTTTTCATTATTTTTTAGTTTCTCTAGGGTTTAAAAAATGCATCTTTAACTTATCCTAATCTGCTTAGAGCTGTATTGAATTACTCCAGATAAAATATAGAAAACTTGCAGTAGTGTAATTCCATTTATCTCTTTTCTTTAGTGCTATTACTGTCATATATATTGCATTTATATTTGTTGTAAGTTCATCGATACACTGTCATAATTTTTTGCTTTAAAAAGTCATACATCTTTTAAATAAGGGAAGAAAAGAAAAAATTATATTTTTTTACACTTACACATATATTTACTGTTTCTGCTATTTAAGCATAACTTCACTATACTACCAGGAGTCTTGAAATATTTATATTTTTAAACCAGTAATTGCATAGGAATTTTTATGGCAATAATTATAGATGGGGATAATTTTTTATAATCATTTTTTTCTCACTGTTTCTTATAATTAAAATTTGAAATAATTTAAATGTCTAAAAATAGGGAAATGGGGCTTCCCTGGTGGCGCAGTGGTTGAGGGTCCGCCTGCTGATGCAGGGGACACGGGTTCGTGCCCCGGTCCGGGAAGATCCCACATGCCGCGGAGTGGCTGGGCCCGTGAGCCATGGCCGCTGAGCCTGCGCGTCCAGAGCCTGTGCTCCGCAACGGGAGAGGCCGCAACGGTGAGAGGCCCGTGTGCCGCAAAAAGAAAAACCAAAAAAAAAAGGAAAATCATTACATAAACTATGCTACATACATAGGACGGATAAGCACCTTTTTTTAGGATATTGGTTAACTGAGACACATATATGTATATAATTAATATATAACATTGTTATAGTTTTTAGGGAAAAAATGACTGAAAAGAAATATACCTGCTTATTAACAGTGGTTCTCTCTGGCTCATAGATTATTTGTTTGGATTACTACCTTTTGCTTATTTATACTTTTATGTTTTTTCTAACTTTTTACAACAAATCTATGTTTTTTGAATAATCAGAAAAAAAGTACAATGAGAAAGAATTCAAGATTAGGGAGGTCATATTATAAACACTGGTCAGGATTGTTGAAACTAATTAATCATAGTATTAATAATAAATAATTTTCATAAATATATTTATCAACTTGAATTCAGGTTAATGTATGTCTTTAGTATGGCATAGAACGTAAGAAGGCAAATTGTGGTAAGAGGCATATGAATTTATATATTATTCAGTGTATTAAAGCTTATTCCATTGGTAGGCTTTCTTTAAAGGTGTGACTTAAAGATTGCTACAGGTCCCTAAGTGTCTCAAAGTATCTCCCTCACTGGTTGCATCAGCCCTTAAAATTCCTATGAAGCATCGTCTTTTGTTTAAAGTTCTTTTGTCTTTCTTCCTATGAAACCTACCTTATTTCATATAGAAAGTTAGCCCCCATTGACACATAAGCATCGGTTACTGTATGAGACTCAGGACATTCTGATGAAGAATATTTTGGCAGTTTTGGTAAAGACCTACATCTATAGAGATGCCAAGAGCAGAGCAATTCTAGGCAGGATTCTGTGGTGGGTATCCTGGACAGTTCAGTGTAGTGAGTACTTTGTAAGGTTAGTAGGTAGATAGAAGGGAGAGAAAAAGGAGAGAGAATACAAAATGTGGATGCAAGAATGATTCAAAATGTATTTATTTAGTGGGCTTGTATTTAGTTATTAAGCTTGTATTCTCCTTTAAGTGGCATTTATCAGTGACCATTTACTCCCATGGTCCCTTGCTGCTTGCTCCTTCTTTGAGATAGACATCAAAGTCCTTTACCTAAGCAATATATGTTTATTATTTTGCCTTTCACACCTTCAAATTCCAAAGAGTTGCCTCAGTAATTAAAGAAATTAATACCTACCCACTAAAAGGACATAGTGAATGAACCATACCCAGGAAAAATATATATACTAGTTAATCAAGGCCTTCTGGAGACTGTACCTCTTCTTCCTTGGCTGTCACACATGCTGACAACTCTTTACGATGGAATCGAAGGCCAGATGTTTGTGGATGTTTGTGCTAGATGGACCTTTCAGAGGCTTTTAAATCAAGTTGTATTGGCAGCCTCTGTTCAGTCTTCTATAGGATCAGTCCAAAGGAAAGAAGTTTTAAAAACATACAGAAAGTCAGAGATTCAGAATATGTAGAGATGTGATAAATTTTAATCTGTTTCATTGTACAGATGAAAAAATTCAAGTCTTGACAACTTGATTGTCTTACCCAAGATTATCACTAATTAATAGCAGAGCCAGGATTAGAACCCAGGTCTCTTAGCTGCAAATCTAATGGGTTTCCCACAGTATCAAGTTGCCTCAAGTCTAGGTATTAGATACACACCTTCAAAGCCCACAAAAACACCAAACAAAGCAAGTCAAAAAGCCAAAAGCGAGATCCTGCAAGTCTGACATCAAACACGGGGGAGAAAATGTGTAAACGTTAGGTGGAATAGAATCTCAAGCCATGTTGCCTTTTATAAAAAGTAGATTATATCAACTGTATTAAATGATTGTGTCCTACTAAAACTGCTAAACAAAAGAAGGGAATATAGGTTGCTACTTATTTGGGCCCTGAGACATTTTTTGATATGATATGATGTACATCATTTGAAATCTGGCTTCAACTAATTTGGGCAATAGTTATTAGCCATAGACAAAGAGTAAGAATGAGGCTGTTGTGTTAAGATGCCTGGCTGAGTGCCAAAGGAGTCAGAATAAGGTCATGTTTATTCTATTGGACATTTTATTCCTTATCTAGACTCTAAGAAGGCAAAGAGCATGATAATGAAGTACATTGGTAACCTAAATTGGGAGGCATTGTCAATGTGAATTAGGAAAGAAAAGTAAAATAAGTAAATACAGTTTAGACATATATACCAGGGAAGATACAGCAGGACTTCACTTCAAAAGAAACCTAACAACAGCTTGGGATGGAAATATGTTCCAGAAATTCTAAGGACAGGAAAGACATAGAAAATGATAATGACTAAAAAAGAAAAGGGGACTTATAACTGTTTGCAAAATGATAGAAGGTTATAATACAGAATAGAGGAAAAAATACCCCAAACAAAAAGGTGCAACTATGCACTTAAATACATTTATATAAACCTTTCATCTCAAAACCTATGAATAAAAATATTTCTGTTATTATATTGGAGATATAAACATTTTTGGTGTGGAAGTGGAGATGGTATCAAAATAACCAAGTAAAGAGATGAGTTGCACATAAAAGGGACTGTGAGTGCAATGTGAAGGTGTTGGTAATATCCTCAGGATCCCATGTAAATTAAAGACAAAAGAGGTAGAATTGAAAAGAGAGAGAGAAAAAGAAGGAAATTGCTGTTTCTGCCTTCTCTTTT